CTCCTGTACAGTGTAGACAAACCTTTGTCCACAGTTCTTCAGGCACTCTGTCAGATGTAATCCCTTGAATCTATTTCTCACTTCCACTGTATAATCGTCAGGGATTTGATTTAGGTCATACCTGAATGGTCTAGTGGTTTTTCCCTACTTTCTTTAAGTTAAGTCTGAATTTGGCAATAAGGAGTTCATGATCTGAGCCACAGTCAGCTCCCAGTCTTGTTTTTGCTGACTGTATAGAGCTTCTCCATCTTTGGCTGCAAAGAATATAATCAGTCTGATTTCAGTGTTGACCATCTGGTGATGTCCATGTGTATAGTCATCTCATGTGTTGTTGGAAGAGGGTGTTTGCTATGACCAGGGCGTTCTCTTGGCAAAACTCTGTTAGCCTTTGTTCTGCTTCATTTTGTACTCCAAGGCCAAACTTGTTACTTCAAGTATCTCTTGACTTCATACTTTTGCATTCCAGTCCCCTATGATGAAAAGGATATCTTTTTTTGGTGTTAGTTCTAGAAGGTCTTGTAGGTCCTCATAGAAACGTTCAACTTCAGCTTCTTTGGCATTACTGATTGGGGCATAGACTTGTATTACAGTGATACTGAATGGTTTGCCTTGGGAAAGAACAGAAATCATTCTGTCATTTTTGAGATTGCACCCAAGTACTGCATTTCGGACTCTTGTGGACTATGAGGGCTACTCCATTTCTTCTAAGGGATTTTTCCGCACAGGAGTAGATATAATGGTTATCTGAATTAAATTCACCCATTTCGGTCCATTATAGTTCACTGATTCCTAAAATGTCGATGTTCACTCTTGCCATCTCCTGTTTGACCACTTCCAATTTACCTTGATTGAGGGACCTAACATTCCAGGTTCCTATGCATTATTATTCTTTACAGCATCAGACTTCACTTTCACCATCAGAGACATCCACAGTGGGGCACTGTTTCCCTTTTGGCTCAGCCTCCTCATTCCTCTGGAGCTATTTCTCTGCTCTTCTCCAGTAGCTATTGGGCACTGCCAACCTGGGGAGTTCGTCTTTCAGTGTTGTATCTTTTCATGAGGCAAGAAGGCTGAAGTGGTTTGCCATTCCCTTCTTCAGTGGACCACGTTTTGTCAGAACTGTCCACCATGACCCGTCTGTCTTGGGTGGCCCTACACGTAATGGCTCATGATTTCATTGAGTTAGATGAGGCTGTGACCCATGTGGTCAGTTTGGTTAGTTTCCTGTGACTGGTTTTCACTCTTTCCACCCTTGAGGGATGAGGACTACAGGCTCGTGGAAACTTTCTGATGCGAGGGACTGGCTGCGGGGAAAACTGGGTCTTGCCCTAATGGGCAATGCCATGCTCAGTAAGTCTTTAATCCGATTTTCTGCTGATGGATGGGGCTGTGTTCCCTCCCTGTAGTTTGGCCTGAGGTCAAACTATGGTAGGGATAATGGTAGTAATGGTGACCTCCTTCAAAAGGACTTATGTCAGCATACCACAGCTCCCAGGACTGTTGTATTCAGTGCCCCTGACCCTGCAGCAGGCGACTGTAGATTCACGCCTCGGAGACTCTCATCTGGCTCACTCTCTTGTGGGATCACTGCTCCTTTCTCCTGGGTCCTGGTGCACACAAGGTTTTGTTGTGTCCTCCAAGAGTCTGTTTCCTCAGTCCTGGGGAAGTTCTATAATCAAATCCCACTGGTCTTCAAAGTCAGATTCCCTGGGGGTTCTCTCTTTGCTTGATCCCCAGGTTTGGAACTCTGTTGTGGGCCCTAGAACTTCTGCAACAGTGCACGAACTTCTTTGGTATAATTGTGCTCCAGTTTGTGGGCTGTCTGCAGCAGCTCTATTGGGGGGCTAACGGCGACCTCCCCCAAGGGGACTTCTGCCACACAGCACGCCTCCCAGGTCTGCTGCAGCCAGAGCCCCTGTCCCCGTGGCAGGTTACATCATCTAATAAAAATATTTTTTTGGGGGGGGACAGTACTAATTTACTGTTTTTCAAAAAAGTATGTTTATGTGGTCAGGGATTGGAGGAAGGTTCTTAGAAAAAATTAAAATAGTTAAACTGGAGATATCTCTCCTACCCACACACAGTGCCTGAGCAGCTTTAAGTCCTCAGTAAGTGACAGCTGTCAGGAATATGATGCCACTGTGGGCTCTTCCTTCCCTTCCTTCCTCTGCCACTCCTTCCTTCCCCTCTCCTTTCTTTCTTTTTAAAAGGTGTTCCTTCATGTTCTTGCTAATTCGCATCTTATAAACCTAAAAGACAATAAGGGAATTAACATGTTATGTTTCCTTTTCAACCAGATATTAAAATTGATTAAGTCTTGTTTTGCTTTTTGCTTCAGCTATCAGGAAGCAGGGAACTAAATTTAATACTCAGTACACTAATTCTATTAGCCCAGATTTCTGTAATATTTGTTTTCCTCTCTGTGTCTTTTATCTTATGTTTCATTAGGTTTTCCACTATGTCTCTTATAAATCTTCTGAAAATAAGGGTCCAAATTACAATAATGACTTCTAAAAACAGTCTGTTCTTGTTGGCCAGGCTCCACAAAAGGAAGAGTTTATGAAACCACCTGCCTGTTTTAAATTATTTCTTCTCTCCCTGTGTTTTTCCCACTTCTCAAGACACAAGTAAAACTAGAGGATTCCTGTTTGCCCTTAGTGACGGTCTCCTTTGCCAGCTAGCCCATGCCCCCTCCTACCCCACACTCCACACTCATCCCCTGCCCCTCTGTCCCTAGGTCCTACAGCCTAGCCTCATGAGTCATTTTGCGAGGCTACAGCACTTCCAAAGGCACACAGACCACCCTCCAATGGAATTACTCACCAATGTTCCAGCTGCTTCAGACTTCCTCTGCAATGAAAAAGAGAACAAACAGGATGTGTTTACAATCAAGCCTTGTTTTCAGGCTAATTGCCTGCACACCATTCCCTCTTTTATTCACTATCAGGAAAGCTTGCACTTTTTGTTCATAATGTTTATCAGCTTGTGCTTCCATATTGCGTGATCCTCTCCCTTAATAGACTTGAGGTCCAAATGTAGACTTCCTCCCTCACTGGACCTCTGGGCCAGAAGGTGTCGGGGGAGATGGCTGGGCAGATGGATGATATAACGAGTGGAGGTACTGGAAGGACAGAACGTGGAGAGAACTAACATTCAGCCACCACCTACAACGTGCAGGCATTGCTGGTGCTTTATATACACTATCTAATCCTCAGCACATTTTTTTTAAGGTTTATTTTATTTTTGGCTATGTTGAGCTTCCCAGCTGCACGTGGGCTTTCTCTAGTTGTGGGAAGTGGGGGCTACTCTTCACTGTAGTATGCAGGCTTCTCACAGAGGTGGTTTCAGAGCATGGGCTGTGGGTGCACGGGCTTCAGCAGTTGCGGCTCCCAGGCCTTAGAGTGTGGGCTCGGTAATTGTGGTCCATGGGCTTAGTTAGTTAGTCGCTCCACAGCATGTGGGATCTTCCTGGACCAGGGATCAAACCTGTGTCCTCTGTATTGGCAGGTGGATTCTTGACCACTAGGCCACCAGGGAAGCCCTTTTATTTTTTTTTTATTGAGGTGTGATTTATATAAAATTGACTCATTTAAACTGTACAAGATGGTGGGTGTTATGCAACCATCACTGCTGATTCTAGAAATTTTCATCACCCCCCCCAAAAAACCCTGTGACTTTTAGTGATACTAATTCCCAATTCCCCTCTCTTCCCAGCCCCAGAAAATTACTAAAATTTACTTTCTGTCTCTGTGGATTTGCCTATTCTGAACATTTTATATAAATCAGATCATACAATATCTAGTCTTTTTTATCTGGCTTCTCTCACTTAACAATATTTTCCTCCACATTGTAGCAATTACCAGTACTTCCTTTCTTTTTATGGCTGAAGAATAATTCAGTGTATGGATGTACACATTTTGTCATTCAGTCATCTGTAGATACATGACTCTTAAAACTACTATGAACATTTGCACTCAGAGTTTTCAATTTTGATGAAATCCAGTTTATTTATTTTTTTTCTTTTTGGTACTTGTGTCAAATGTCAAATATAAGAAATCATTGCCTAACCCAAGGTCTTCTCTAGGAGTTTTATAATTTTATATCTTATATTTAGGTCTTTGATCCATTTTGAGTTAATTTCTGTATATGATGTGTGGTAGGTGACCCAACTTTATTCTTTTGCATATAAATATCTGGTTATCCCAGCACCATTTATTGAAAAGAGTATTCTTTTCCCCATTAAATGGTCTTCGCACCCTTGTCAAAAATCAGTTGTGGATGCTTGATTTTATTTCTGGACTCTCTATTTTATTCCATTGTCTATCCTTAAGCCAGTACCACACTTACTTGATCATTGTACCTTTCTAGTAAGTTTTGAAATCAGGACATGTGTGTCCTCCAACTTTGTTTTTCTTTAAGATTATTTTGGCTATTCCGGGTCTCTTGCATTTCTAAATGACAAGCTGATCCTAAAATCAAGCCTTGGATTTTGATAAAAATTGCATTAAGTCTGTAGACCAGTTTGTGGAGTATTGCCATCTCAACAACATTAAGTCCTCTGATCCATGAACATGGATATTCCCATTTATTTAGGCCTTTAAACATGTTTTTTTCATTTTCACATACAAGTTTTACTTTTTTATTAAATTTATTCCTAAGTATTGTATTCTTTTTGTTGCTATCATAAATGAAATTGCTTTTTAATATCATTTTCAGATTGTTCATTGTTAGTGTATACAAATACAGTATATTTTTGTATATTGTTCTTATATTCTGCAACCTTGCTGAAGTTGTATATTAGTTTTAATAGTTTTTTAGTGGGTTATTTAGGATTTTCCATATACAAAATCATGTCATCTGCTAATAGAGATGGTTTTACTTCCTCTCCAAACCAGATTTCTTTTCTTTTTCTTGCCCAGTTTCCCTGGCTATAATCTCTGGTACAATCTTCAGTAGAAGAGCAGACAGTCTTATTTTGTTCCTGAGTACAATCCTGTAAAGTAGGTATTTTTTACAAATGAGGAAAAACCTGCCTCCTACCCCCTAATGAACGGAAGTGAAGCTCAGATCAGAAAACGGATATATGGAGAATCCCAAGTTGACTCTAATCCAAGGGAGCTAGGCTCCCATCACCTGAAGTCCAGGAGCAGTCACATCTGCACCCTCACCTGCCTTTCCTCCTTCCAAAGCAACTCATCCCTCTGCTCCCCTATTGCTCCTCTCTCCACCAGCAGCCTCCCCTGCTATTCCAAGACCCAGCCTCAGTGCTGCCTTCCACGGGAAGGCCACACCTTGCTCCCCAGGCTGGACCAGGGCTCTCTCCCCTGTAGACCCTGAGAGTGCAGGGGGACGCGGGACACCCTTCTATCACAGACAGCCTCTGCCACGTAGGTCTGTCCGTTGCCTCATCACATGCCAGCCTGCAGCGCTCCACTGACCCTTGGGCTCTGGGACAGGAGCTGTGTTTGATTGGTCTTGGTGTCCCCACTCTTGGCCAGGGGACACACCTCAGGCAACTGGCAGAGGAAGCCTCGGCTCCCTGGGGTGGAGAGAATTACCTTTTCCGTCGGCCTTATAGTCATCAGGGAGCAGCTTGTCCTGACGGTAGCCCAGCACGAAAGCCAAGAAGGAGAGGATGAGAGCATCTCCAATGCTGAGGATGGCAAGCATGAAGGCCCAGCGGATGGTGCAGTGCCCCAGCGTGTATTTGCCTGTCTGCTCCCCACACATGCGCCGGACCTCACTTGAGTCCCAGCCGTCTGGGTAGACCAGGCAGCCGATCATCAGGCCTGTGGCTGAGGGGGCAGGGGGGGTGCAGATGGCGTCAGGCTGGGGAAGCACAGTCTGCTCCCTCCCCCTGTGCACTGCGGTCACCTTGCCGCCTCCCTTCCTATGTTAACAGCCTTGAGAGGCACAAGAGGCAGCTCCTGCCACCCTGCTTGTAGATCAAAGAGGAGAAAACAGGCTCCAAGAGCTGAAGTCATCTGCCCCTCGGAGCCACTGGTCAGGGGCGAAGGCTCAGAGCAGGACTTCTCAGCCCCAGGAGGTTCTGCAAGGACACCCTGTAGTCCTGCCAGGCCCTCAGCTGTGCCCCTCACTTTGAACTTGATGAGGCACCGGCTTCAAAGTCCTCCCAAAATCCAATTCCAGCCCAGAGAACTCATCACTCCTAAGATGTAATTTTGTTCAAACCTCAGCATCTCTGAAATAAGTGTAATAACAAAACTTTAGGCTATAACTTGATTAGAAGCTTTTTTTCCTTTTTACAGCACATCGAATAATGATGTCTCCTACAACTCAGGTATTTTAGATTGAGTACAAGAAGTTTTCCAGTCCCATCTCTGGCTGCTTCCTTCATGAATCTTCCATTTAAGCAAATAGGATCTCCACACCTTTACCCACTACAGCACAAGGCAGTTGTCCTCACCTCTCTGAATGTGTTTAAAACGTTGATTCCTAGGTCAGGGTTGGGCTCAGGAATCCCTTCTTTAAAAGCAGTCTTCCGGGAGACTCTCTCAACAGGAAAAGCTGGGGAACACTAGGGTAGACTGCCTGGATCTCAAACCTGGCTCTTCGCTAACCGGCTGCGTGACTTGGAGCAAGCTATGTAAGCTTTTGTGCCTCAGTCTTTTCATCTGTAAAATGAGGATGATAGTACCTGCCTATTTGGATTCAGTGAGGCTCAAATCAGCTCATACTGGAGAAGTGCTCAGAAGAGTGTCTGACGCACAGTTGGCATTTCCCGTGTGCCACGCTGTGCTCTTGTTGATTCAGTATCGACAGCCAAGTATTTCTTCTTCCCCACCTCCCCTCCACTTTCCCCACCAAACTTCCACCCCACCTTAGCCACCCAGACAGGTACATATTCCTGGGATGTGACTGGGGCAACCTCTGGGACCACCATCAGGCAGACACGGGGCACCTCCCTTATTTGTGCCGCAGTCCCACCCTGGCCCTTCTTTCACAGGACCTGAGGCTCTTTAGCCCCAAAGCTGTGCCCTAACTCGGGAGTCCCGTGGAGAAGCACCTGACAGCATCCAAATTCACTGTGTGGGTCTCAGCTTGTTCTTGCAAGGAAGGTCAGCAGATCAAACAAAAGCACAGCAAAGTATAAAGATCAGTATACCAGATCCCACCTTCCCACCTAGATGAACACCTCCTTTGTTTCTTTCTAGGAGGAGCTGATTTATTAATACAGACGTCTCTTACAGATCACAAAATACTTTACATACCATTTTTCTGTCAATCCTTACAACAGTTCTGTGAAATAGGCCATGTGTTAATATCCCATTTTACAGACTAGAAAACTGAGGTCCCAGAGAAACCAAGGGAGTTACCCAGTCCTTTCGCTATGGCAGAGCCAAGACCTGCACCCACAACTCCTGACTTTCTTGGCTTCAAAGTTAATTTCCCCAGACTCCCAGCCAAACACCTCTCCCAAAGAGCTGAATGTATTTAGCGATGACATTTCAGACTCAGGGACAAACAGGAAGACACTTCGGGTGGTTGCCCTAGGGGTGACCCTCCCTGAACCCTGTGATAAAACCTGTGGCCTCCCCTACTTGTGTGGTGAGTCCTCTGCTCCCTGGCTCAGCCCCCTTCTCCTATAGCACCTCCCTATAGCGGTTTCAGAAAAGAGCCCAGGATCTCTGACTTGGAAACAGGTTGTTTCTATGGGTGCCACAATGCTCTATGAGCACCCCATCCATCCACCTAGTAGGGGGATCCACCCCACTGCAGTGTCTCGGGGCTCTAAACAGAGGCCAGCGTGGTATTCTCAAGCAAGTTTACTTACCATTTCTGACTTCCAGTCTCTTGCTGGAAAAATAAGGATGATAATACCTGACTCAGAGCAAGGTTATGAGGATTAAGTGTGATTAAGTGTGTACTGCAGTGTCTGGTATATGGTAAGTGGCCAGTTGATGTTAGTTGTTGCTATTATTATTGGCACTAAAGTCAGATAGAAGCACCCTCAATGGGTGTCGCTGTCATTAGAGCTGTTCACAAATATTCAAGGCACGTAACACGATTATACTTCCTTGCCTCCCTCCCTTGAAGTTGTGTGCAAGTGTGCGTGCATTCTCAGTTGCTCAGTCCAACTCTTTGTGACCCCCATGGAGTATAGCCTACCAGGCTCCTCTGTCCATGGAATTTTTCAGGCAAGAACACTGGTACAGGTTGCCATTTCCTGCTCCAGAGGATTTTCCTGACCCAGGGATCAAACTCGTGTCTCCTGTGTTGGTAAGCAGATTTTCTTAACTACTGAGCAGTCTGGGAAGTCCCCCTGAAGTTACGCTAGGTCATAAAGATTCCTTCAGCCAATAAAATGTGAGCAGAGGTGCTGTGCACTTTTCCAGGCCAGAGCATTTAACTGCTTTTGGAGACTTTCCAGAGCTCTCTTTCTCTTTGCAATGATGACAGCCAGATGACAGCTGATGCTCCATCAGCCTGGGCTCTGGAAGGGAACAGTGACAGCAAAACCCTTCACTGATCCTCAGTGAGCATGTACCGTGATCAAGAAATAAACCTTTGTCCTAACCCACGAAGATTTGGGAATTGGGGTATGGCATTCCTACAAAGATGTGGGAATTGGGGATGGGGTGTGGCATCACCCCATCCATCCCTGACTGAAAAAGCTGCTTGGGGTTTTTCACATTTACTGAACACCTACCACATGTCAGGCCTTGTGCAAGATGCATTAGAGCATCCCATTCCTGCAAGAACCATGTGATGGGGTACTTATGCCGTCTTGGACAGATGAAGTTACCAGCACTCAGAGAGATGCATAACGTGCTCTACTTGTGTTTTTAGGAGCTGGGACCACCCTCGGCCTACACTTGGCATCCAGAAGCTCAATTAACTTTCAGCGGCAGCTCCTCACTGCCCCACTTTTCCTTCTGCACCCTTCCCTGGTCCTTAATTTTGGCAAGATTAAGCTAACTGGTTTAGGGCTCCTCTAATGGAGGAACCTCTCAGCAGCTGGCTGTGGGACACACCTCCTCCTCATCCCTGCCTTTGCCCGCCCCCCCCCCCACCTTTCCCCAGCACCAAAGAATGAGACACGACACCACCTTTGTTCTACCCCAACATAAATGTTTCATGGGATGGCACCTGGCCACCTCTGCTATCAATGTCTTCAGTTCCATGACCCAGACAAGGATCTGACTCAAATGGCCTGGTGATCCCTCCCCCACCCAGGCCCTCCCAGCACTGCCTGTTCAGCAAATGGCACCTATTGCAGGAGGTTGGGGGAGTGGGACAGTGCAGAGAATGAGGGAGGGAGGGTGGTGTTTCCAGCATCCCACTGCTCTGGAGGACCAGCTGGCAAGCATGCCAGGGTTCATTCTGCTCCTCTTTGTCACGAGACTGCTGAACCTTCATTCTCCCTTCTCTCTCCCCACTGCCCACCAAGACTTGCCTCATCTCTGCCCCAGCCTCTCCCTCACCATTTAGAGAGACTACAGAGAAAGGGAGATGGCAGGGGGATTGGGAAAGCAGCTGTGGAACCAGGTCAGTAGCCTGAGTACAAGATTCAGAGTTTGAAGGTTCTGTCTCTCACGACCTGTGTGCTAAAATACAAGTTACCCACTAGGAGCCTCATCTATCAAATGGAAGGAAAACCCACCTCACTGGGTCATGATGAGGCTCCTCATCTAGTTCTTGGGACTCACTGCTAAAATTCTCCTATTTCCTTGGTTGCCAGGTGATCTATTACAGTCTTGGCTAAGTCTTGTCTTCTCTCAGCCCCAGATCCCTCATTTATAGTTGGGGGGAAGACGCTCTAGCTCTTTAGAGCCCCCTCCAACTCTGACTGTCCTAAGTTTATGTGTTTGGTTGTCTGGGATTCAGTTCCCTGTTCCATTCCCCCTGCTAAGGATAACACTGCTTCTCATTCTAACCAGTGATGTCAAGATGATTTCACTCTAGTCCACAGTCGCCAACAAGGCTCCTGGACATCTCCCTAGTATGGACAGTCTGTATGTGGTGCTTGGAGTGAGGAGGGACCATGGGCTGCAGGACAAGGTCTTAGGTAGACAACCCTTCCTGAGCTCTAGAGGATAGCAGGACCAGCTGACCCCAGAACCCAGATGCCTGTCTATAGCCAGAAGCAGGAAGACAGGGTCAGAGAAGGCCTTGCCTCTGAGCACCACAAGTAGCCACCCATTCCACATAGTTCTAAAAGACCCTACTTCCCTCCCCCACCACAAAATATCACCTCCATTCACTGCCTCAAGTGCCCACACTTGCTCTATCAAAGATGGAATCCTGGAATTAGGGAACAAAGACCTTCACTCTACCATGAGTGATTTGCTCCTGGGCAAGTCACTTCCCCTCTCTGGACCTCAGTTCCTGATCTGTAAGACGAGAGAGTTGAACCATTTGATCTTTAAGGTCTTTTTGGCCTCAGCCATCCTGAGACTTGTTACTCTTCAGAAGCATCTGAAGAGCACAGAGTGTGGCTGGGCTATACAGGACAACAGCTGAGCTAGAGACTCAGCAACTCCAGGGAAGGTGGGATGGTGCACCTGCTCCTGTGGTCTTGGGGTGGGGCGAGGGGCTCCCTGCCCTCCCACTATCCCTGCTCACCCGCAGCCAGCTGCATCCACGCACAGATCTTGTAGACAGTGGCCGTGTTGCAGACGAAGAACAGGCTGAAGCAGATAATGGAGCCAATGATGAGGAACATGGCCAAGGCCACAAAGAACATGGCCGTCTTGAAGGCTCTAGAAGGGATAGAGGAGAAGTCCAGCGGGCCACCCTTGCAGATAAGCTCAGAAGACAGCACGTTGCCCACGCAGTAGGAGAAGAGGCCAAAGTAGCCCGCCTGGGGCGTGTTGACGCTGTCCCCGATCCAGTAGGGTTGGATGAAGAGCGCCATGACCAGCACGGAGAAGCAGATGGTGAGTGTGCCCCACATCACGCCCACAGCCCTCGAGTTACGCACGTAGTTGGTGTGGTAGATCTTGGCTGCCTCTTGGGCAGGCAGCAACTTCACCATCGTGAGGGTGCTGGGTCCTGGGGTGGGGACTTGTGGGCTGGAAGTGGCTTTGCGAACGGAAGGAGGCCCAGAAGTGGGTCTCCCCCTCAGCCGGGTGTGGGGAGGAGGCTGAGGTCAGGGAGGATGACCTTGGCTTCTCCAGGGGAAGCTTGTCCAGGGGGCTGTGTCCGCTCTGCTCGAGCCGGCCTGCCTCGGGTCTCGTGCCTCCTCAAACCCGCCAGGGTCCAGGGCCTGTGGGCGCCGCCCCGCCCCGCCCCCTTCCCTCTGAGAGCCCCAGGGAGCTCCGCCCCCTTCGCTCGTCCCGGCTCCGCCCCGCTCCCTCCAGCGAGAGCGCAGCTTTCAGCACCGTGGCCAGCGCCTCGGGCCCCGCGGCAGAGGACAGCGCAGAGCTGCCGCCCCACCCACTCCACATACCGGCGCCCGGGAATCAGGGCCTTTCTTCACCCTCCGCAGCGGGGCTGGCAAGGACCGAAAGGGCGGGTTTGTGGTTGTCACCTTCCCCTCGCTCGGTGTCCTGTCGCCAAACCACTTCTGGAGCGCAGTCCCCGTCCATCCCATCCTTCCCTGGTTCCCTATATGTCCTCCTGGAACCTCCAATCCTCGGAGGCCAGCAAAGTCTTCCGGGTCACTGGTTTCTCCTCCCTGTATCATCCAGGGGACAATTACTAAGAGCCTTCTGCGTGCTGAGCCCTGTGTTGGAGGCAGGAACCATATACTAAAAAGGACGGGGCTCCTGCTCTCAAGGACAGTGAGGTGCTTACATATATGTAAATATATATTTGAAATGCAGACTGATAGTGTGATAATAGAACCGACTACAAAAAGAACGGTCCTTATGAGGCTTCTCAGACTTTAACGTATGCTTTTTGTTCAATACAATGACTTTCACCTCTTGCGTATGTTTTTGTGGCATATTTCTTTTTTTATTTACTTTTATAAGTATAGTTGATTTACAATGTTGTGTTAATTTCTGCTGTCACTCAAGGTACATATGTACATTCTTTTTTATCGTCTTTTCCATTATGGTTTATCCCAGGAGATATATATATATATACACATGTCTGTATACATATATACATATATTTTAATTTACTTATTTGGCTGCATGGAGTCTTAGTTGAGACACGTGGGATCTTTTTGGTGTGGCACACAGAATCTTTAGTTGCAGCATTCAAACTCTTTGTTTCAGCATGTGGGAGCAGGGATCCAACTCAGGCTCCCTGCATTCAGAGAATAGAGTCAGCCACTGGACCACCAGGGAAGTCCCTATCCCAGGATATTGAATATAGTTTCCTGTTCTGTACAGTAGGACCTTCTTGTTTTTCCATTCTATATAAAGAGTTTGCCTCTAGTAACTCCAAATTCCCAGTCCACCCCTCCTCCTCCACACCCTTGCATATTCCTTCCCCCCACCCTTTTTCAAAATACATGTATTTTTCCTAAATGTATAGGCAAATTCGTGATTAATATACATACATAAGAAAATTCAAGAAAGTTACATAAAAGAACTCATAACCCAAAAATGGGAGCTAAGGACAAACAAGATCATTTTACAAACATTCACTTCAGCTTTAGATAGACCTGAATTTGAGTCAACCACTTGTTAGCTGACTCAAGTCAGATGGTCAATACCGAAATTAGGTTGATTATATTCTTTCCAGCCAAAGATGGAGAAGCTCTATACAGTCAGCAAAAACAAAACCGGGAGCTGACTGTGGCTCAGATCATGAACTCCTTATTGTCAAATTCAGACTTAAATTGAAGAAAGTAGGGAAAACCACTAGGCCATTCAGGTGTGATCTAAATCAAATCCCCTACAATTATACAGTGGAAGTGACAAATAGATTCAAGGGATTAGATCTGACAGAGTGCCTGAAGAACTATGGACAGAGGTTTGTGACATTGTACAGGAGGCAGTGATCAAGACCATACCCATGAAAAGGAAATGCAAAAAGGCAAAATGGTTGTCTAAGGAGGCCTTACAAATAGGTGAGAAAAGAAGAGAAGCTAAAGGCAAAGGAGAAAAGGAAAGGCATACCTATTTGAATGCAAAGTTCCAACGAATAGCAAGGAGAGATAAGAAAGCCTTCCTCAGTGATCAATACAAAAAAAATAGGGGAAAACAATAGATTGGGAAAGAGCTAGAGATTTCTTCAAGAAAATCAGAGATACCAAGGGAGCATTTCATGCAAAGATGGGCACAATAAAGGACAGAAATGGTATGGACCTAACAGAAACAATGACAAGAATACACAGAAGAACTATACAAAAAAGATCTTCATGACCCAGATAACCATGACAGTGTGATCACTCATCTAGAGCCAGACATCCAGGAATGCAAAGTCAAGTGGGCCTTAGGAAGCATCACTACGAACAAAACTAGTGGAAGTGATGGAATTCCAGCTGAGCTATTTCAAATCCTAAAAGATGATGCTGTGAAAGTGCTGCACTCAATATGCCAGCAAATATAAAAAAAAAGATGTGTCTATGCTATGTCATCTTGGAATCACTTCCTCCATTCCACCCAGAGCACAGACTGTATAAGAAATTTATTGGGAATGTGATTGTAAAGACAGAATGAGGAACAGATGAATGAACCAGGGGAAAAGAGTCAAATCTGAATATGTTATCAATTTATTGGATGCCTTAGGAATTGGGTGCTTTAGGATCACTGAAGTGAAACTAAAGGGAAATATTTACCCATTAGCTCTAGGGATTCCGTTATTCAAGAGTTGCTACATGGGTATTAGCTCAGCGATATGTCTGGATGGAATGTATGTGAACATCAAACCAGGTTCCTCTAGCCAAACAGCATTTTCCAAGAAGTTCCAGGACCAAAAGTGAAGTCTTTCCAGGGCCTTAAGACTGATAATAGCAATTGCATTTTTATAAAGCTGAACAAGTCCACACTGGTGGTAAATAAGGCCATTCCTGAACAAAATTTAAGACAGAGAGGATTTGCAGTGGTGTAACTGGACATGGACCAACAGACTGGTTCCAAATAGGAAAAGGAGTACATCAAGGCTGTATATTGTCACCCTGCTTATTTAACTTATATGCCGAGTACATCATGAGAAATGCTGGGCTGGATGAAGCACAAGCTGGAATCAAGATTTCCGGGAGAAATATCAATAACCTCAGATACGCAGATGACACCACCTTTATGGCAGAAATCGAAGAACTAAAGAGGCTCTTGATGCAAGTGAAAGAGGAGAGCAAAATATCTAGCTTAAAACTCCACATTCAAAAAATGAAGATCATGGTATCCAGACCCATCACTTCATGCAAATAGATGGGGAAACAATGGAAACAGTTACAGACTTTATTTTTCTGGGCTCCAAGATCACTGCAGATGGTGACTGCAGCCATGAAATTAAAAGATACTTGCTCCTTGAAAGAAAAGCGATGACCAAACTAGACAGCATATTAAAAAGCAAAGACATTACTTTGCCGACAAAGGCCTGTCTAGTCAAAGCTATGGTTTTTCCAACAGTCATGTATGGATGTGAGAGTTGGGCTGTGAAGAAAGCTGAGAGCCGAAGAATTGATGCTTTTGAACTGTGGTGTTGGAGAAGATTCTTGACAGTTCCTTGGACTGTAAGGAGATCAAACCAGTCAATCCTAAAGGATATCAGGCCTGAATATTCATTGGAAGGAGTGATGCTAAAGCTGAAACTCCAATCCTTTGGCCACCTGATGTGAAAGATTAACTCATTGGAAAAACCCCGATGCTGGGAAAGATTGAAGGCAGGAGGAGAAGGGGACGACAGAGGATGAGATGGTTGGATGGCATCACTGACTCAATGGATGTGAATTTGAGCAAGCTCAGGGAGTTGTTGATGGACAAGGAAGCCTGGCGTGCTGCAGTCCCTGGGGTCGCAGAGAGTCGGACACAGCTGAGTGACTGAACAGAACTTGAACTTGTTAACTGAGGGTTTAGCTTCCTGAGCCTCAGTTTATCATCTATAAGATGAGTATGATAATAGTATCTATCACGTATAGGTTAGGTAAAATAACATATGGAAAATGTTTAACCCAGGGCTTCACATATAAAAATACTCAAAAATGTTTTTTATTATTACTATCTCTGTTAACATTTTGGTGTATTCCCCTCCTTCTGGACATACTGCTTTATACAGTTGAATAATAATGTATATGCATTTGTGCTCAGTTGTGTTCAACTTTTTGCGACCCCATGAACTATATAGCCTGTGAGGTTCCTCTGTTCATGGGATTTTCCAGACAAGAGTACTGGAGTGGGTTGCCATTTCCTTCTCCAGTTTACATTTAGTATCCAATTAATTTCATTTAGCATTTCACCATCAATGTTTTCTCACATTACTAGTTTTTCAAAAACGTGATCTTTAATCTTTATATAATTGTTTAATTATTCTCCTCCTTGGGGGTATTTCGACAGTTTCCCATTTTTTACTATTAAAAAGAACCCTGCCTTAAGCATATTGTGCTGTTAACCTGTGTTTCCTCTTAAATTTCTTCAGTTTTGTGACCAGTCCTTGCCATCAGATTGAAAGTTCAACAAGGCATGACATGTATCTCCACCATCGGGCTGGGAGCTTCTCCAGAGTAGGGGCTGTATGCTCCCGCTTTCAGAAAGGGCACTGACCTGGGGCCAGGCTCCTCGGGACTAGTGGACACCTTTTGTTTGGCCTGATCAGCAGAACTTCCCCTGCCTTTGGGAGAAGCCTCTCCAGCTTTCTGAGGTCCTGGTGGGACAGCCATCACAGGGCACGTAGACCCTAGAGACAGAACTGAGTGTGGGACCCAAGCTAGGCTATCAGCCTCCACTTAGGGAATCTGAATGGTGGTAGATTAAAATGAGGGAAAATGGTGTTGTTAAGTCAAGCCTTGGCCACATTCTCAACAGATAATCCATGACCTCCTGCTACGGGGAGCTTCAGAGTCACCTGATACCTGTGCCCATCTAAGACAGGTGGCCCTGTTCCTTCAATTCTGTGACTCACTCACTATCTTTCCATTTCCTTCCTTTTTGCTTTTATTGGCTAGAGTAGGTTTTGGCTGTTGGTACCAAAGAGCCCTAACCTGATCCAAAATATTAGCACCAACAAAGGGGTTTCAGGCCCAGACTTTAGACAAAAGGCTTTGAGATCCCTGTTGATGTCTGGAGTTGGGAAAACAGCAGCCCATGGAACGGAGAGGAGAAGCAGCTAGTCAGATTATCAGCTGTG